GCTGCCTTATACTGAGCTGATTCTAGTCTGTCAAGATTCTTGTCTGTCGTATTTCCATATATGGCCGACGCATAAGTAAGCAAATTTAAAACAAATGACTTATAGACTAAGTCCAATGACTGTCTGGCACATTAGCTGTCATTTTATATCGATCATTATTCTATGAATATAATTGAAATTGCCGTTAAATTTGTATCAGAAGAATTAAGAGACAATGGTGGTATTATTCATATTGATGAAATTAAAAGAAAATTAATTCAAGATTTAATAAATAATTATAATGAGCTTTTATTTGAAAGCAATGTTTTTTTATTGATGCATATGTTGAAATGATTGTTGATAGTATAATTTGTATACAAAGATCATTAAAAGACAAAGAAGAACGTATTAGAGTAAATTATAATAGAAGGATTAATAATGTATCTAATAAAATTTCTACAATCGAAAGTGAGATAAAAATTACAGAAAAATATATAAAAAGTGAAACAAGTAAATTAATAAAATTAAAGAATTAAAGAAATAATAATAAAGAACAAAAGATAAACGATTTAAAAGATGTCATAACATCTCTTAATTCTAATATAAAGCAAAAATATGAACTAATTAAAATAATTAATATAAAACAAAAATTAAGTGAAACAAGAGTTAACTTTAAAGAAATTGATGAAAATTTAAATAGATGCAATTGATGAACAAATATGTTTATTTGAAACTTTTATTTTAAGTTTAAAAAATAATCATGACGATTGTGCAAATTTTTTATGTAATGAATATGAAAAACGAATAGATTTTCTTAATGAATATAAACAAGATTTAAAACAATATGAAAATTATGATAAGAAAACTATTAAATATTTAGAATCAAATGGAAATGAACATTTAATTGAAAATTGAAAATTTGAAAATATTGAACAAAATTTTGAAAAATTAAAAAATGAATTAAAAGAATTATATGATTAAAAAGTTAAAGAAGAATTTAATAAAATTAATATTTTAAATAAAATTAAAACTTCAATGTACAATCATATAATGATTTTAAATTATTACAAGGAAAAGCTAACCTAATGAAATTAACTCAATTAATAGTCGTACTCTTTATACATTTGAGATAAAAACTAAACATTATGTAATTGAATGAAGAAATTTATTGGAAGGACTTTATTAGTCAATGAATCACGTATGATTGCAGCTGAACTATTCATATTTATAAACTTATTAAGCTTTCGAATACCCTCACCCTCACTATATAGGTACATTTTATAACCTGTTGTATTTTCCGATGATGAATAAAGTTTATTCGAAAGCTTAATAAGTTTATAAATATGAATAGTTCAGCTGCAATCATACGTGATTCATTGATTATGTAATTGAATTACCTAGTACAGATAATTCAGATGTACAAGAAAAAGAAATATAAAAAGTTAATAAAATACTTAAAACAATTAACATAATTGAACAACGTAAAATTGAATTAGAAGCTGAACAAAAAATTCTTTCGGATGAAAAAAATGTATATATTGAGCAAGAAAAGTTGAAATTTTAAGAGATAAAGAAGAATTTTTTTAAATTATTCTATTCGCTTATTTGGTTTTGATTATTTTGATAATGGTAATGAATTAAATTCTATTGAATCATTAATTGGAATTTTAATTGCTCAATTAATAGATCGATCATGTCTTTATGATGTTGATGGTGTTAATCAAATTGATAGTTTAATTGAAAAGGGGTTAAAAAAATTATGTAAGAGTATTAACAATGAAACAGATAGAGATGAAATTATATCAATGATAAATTCAGAATATTCAAATAAAGGATGTTTATTTGTCGTTTCTATAATTGAAAATGGTATAGAAAATCAATACAAATCAGTATATCAACATAAAATATCTAATAAAAATAAATGTCTCGTTTTATTTAAAGAAGAAAATCTCTATTTGGCTTTAAAACATGATGATACAATTAAATTAAATGAAAATAAGAAATTAAATTTAAGTTTAAATCTTTATTTAATGGTTTCTGCAGTAGCAAAACGAAAAGAATTCTTTGAAAAAAGATGTGAAAAACGTATAAATTCTGAAAAATGAAATAAATTTTATAATGAAAATTTGCGTACGTCCAAAATATCAGCCACATGTTTAGAAAATGAATTGAAATTAATAGATAAAATTCATTCAATAAAACATTTTAATGTGGAATATTTGAATTTTTTTAATGACTATACCCATGAAATAATTTTGATACCCTAACGCAGGTTAGCATGCGTTAACAAAGAAGTTTTCGAGAAAATTGTGTTTGAACGGGTTAAATTTTCAAATATGACGCGTGCTAACGTTTCTTCGGAGCGGTAACGAGACAGATCCGGTT